TGCTCAGGCTTCACTACGAGATCCGACCCACAACGTGGACCCTGTGCCCATGGACCCGGAGAAGCCTGCGGAGTGGCAGCTGCGGCCAACGTCCAGTCGCGTTAGGTGGTTGGGTGGTGACACTGATAGCTCGGCCGTTCAGATCTTTGATGGCAGAGACCCCAAGCGCGACCTGGCCGCCAGGAATGCGCTGGGCGGCGACCTCTTCTTCGACGTTGCGGGGGATGCAAAAGGCGCTGCTCTGGAGGAGCATTTGGCCGATCTGGACCCGGCCAATCGCGAGACGGCCCTCGCACGCGCGGGCGAACTGGGCAACTTCGCGGATGAGGCTGCGCCTCTGAAGATCGTCGAGTGGGTGGGAGTAGGCCCCAAGATGTACTCCGTTGAGAAGTCGGACGGCAAGAACAAGTCCCGTGCCAAGGGCGTGCCGAAGGTCGTCAGGAAGACACTCAAGCATCAAAAGTTTCGGGATATGGTGGAGAAGCACCATGAGCACTCCATTAGCTTCAACCGCCTTCAGTCTAAGAACCATGTCATGGAGGTCGTGCCTCACACAAAGAAGGGGCTAAGCGCGGTGAACCTGAAGGTGTACCAACTGAACGCCTACCAGTCCAGACCGCTTGGGCACTACAAGAACATCCCGTTGCTTGCGGAGACCGTGGAAAAGCTTCAGCACAAACAGCATTTGGTCCACCGCATCTTGAGCTACATCACCGGCGATGTTGGCTTCTTGTGCAGGGAGCCTGGCTCGACGGGATCATTCAAGGGCATGCTCAGGAACCTCTCCCACATCGGCAATGGCGAAGAGTTGGAGAACCGTAAACGTAAGAGCAGTCATCAGGAACCTTGAAGCTGACGCGTACAGATTTCTTGAGTCAGCGATTTTTGTGTGTGTGTGTGTGAGCTCAGGACAGGTAGCGATCTACAGACACAATCTCTTGTCGTTGCTTCATGTACAGGCACAGGCTCAGTCCAGCTACCGAACCGTGGTCAGAGCACCTCCAGCTAACAAAAAATGGACATCACGGTGGTGCTACGGGCCCCGGGGCTGGCACCCTCCGCGCTTGTGCAGCTTGTCTTGTGCGCAGCTCTCTTGATTGCATGGGGAATAGCCTTTCACGCTGAGCCCGCACCTTTCTCAGGTCTCGCCGAAGCAGTTTGCCTCCGGTCCAGCCCTCAAGAAGGAAGTATGGTCCGCCATCTAAGTACTCAATTCTAGCGACCTGGTAAACTTTTTCGCTCCAAGCCACTTCTGTAACCCTGTAGGCGCCCCTACCCTCGATAGGTTTAACCCTCGCCCGAACCAGGTCTCCCACGGCTATCTCGGGGCGAGCCTCCGCGCCTCTTTTAGCATTGCGCTTCATACGCTGTAGAGCTCGGCCGGCTAGCGCAGGATCCTCATACACGTCGTCGGGAGCCAGTCCTGTTGTGGAGTGCGGTTTCTCATTGTACTGAGCCAAAATGTCAGGTAACAGCAAGTGCCACCGGTTCCTCTGTCCCACCCCAGCCGTGAGCCTTCGAACAAGAGCCTCCTTCAAGGTCCTGATCGCTCGCTCGGCAACCGTGGCGTGGCCCCGAGTGACCACTTTGTCCACGTCAAAGTAGTCTAACTTGGCTTTGAATTCCTTCTTGAACTCGGTGCCATCATCTACGTAGACGTTGTTTGGAATGCCCAGGTCTTTGACGACTTGATCCCATGCTCTGGCAGCCGTTGCCGCTTCCTTATTTACCATAGGGACTGCCGTGAGCTTCTTGCTGAAAGTGTCTATGGCTACTAGCAAGTACCTGTAGGGTCCCTTAGCAAAGCTTTGGCTCAAAGGGTACCACCTCCAAGTGGTCCATTGCGGGAGCTAGACTGGGGTTGCTAGCTGCTGAGTGTACCTCGCGTGGATGGTCATGGCCCCTTCATCAGGGGGGAGCGCTTTGCCGCGCATGCAGTTCTGGAGTGAAGATGGGCTTGGGGGTCCTCAGCCACCAAGCTGGTCACAGCGCCGGTCCTTCGTCATGGGCTTTTGGGATGCCGATGGCGAGAAACTGGTGCAAGAAAGCTTATGCTTCCTCGCTGTTGTGGGAGACGGTGGGAAGCTCAGGCAGTGTTCTTCCTCGAGAGGACGGCTGGTTTCGGCCGTTGCGCGCAGGCTTCGCCCCGGAAGCCAAGAGTTTCTTGACGTGGTTGTCAAGGTCGAATGGCATGCTTGGCGATCTTCGTGGGCCTGGGGCCTACATGCAGTCTCCAAGTATGCGCTGGCAGCTGATGATGCTGCCAAAACTGAGCAGAAGCATTGCACAGTCGCAACCGGCAACGGTGCAGATGCTGTGGAGGAGGCGATAGAATGCGCCCATGGCAAAGCTGAGGGCGCCGCTGCTGATGGCAATGGGGCGGCCTATGAGGCGGCCTACCTGTACTCCGTGAACCACCTGGATGACCCGATTCACCGCTTCAATGGCGAAGGGGCTGCCTATTTCCTGACGATGCTGGGCCCATGCAGCATAAACGGGAGTTTCATCCGCGTGTTGCATGGCAGAAGTGGAGGGGTGCTGATTATGTTCGCAGGGCCGGCTGTGCCACCGAGACCCGCTTTAAGGGGTTCGACCTGCTTTGTTCGCAGACCCGACCGCACCTGGCGAGTTTTCAACTCTTTAGGTGGCCCAGCTGGATCGGCGAGGTTGGCGCCAAGCAACAGGTCAACCCCATCAAGTTCTGCCCTTCCTGGGTCTGCAAAACCTGCCACGCTCCCTGCAGAAATGTTGGCGACGCGCAGCAGCACCTCAAGGATAAGTGCGCCCGCAGGCCTTCGCCTGGACACCTCAAATCCCTGGTGCAGAGGAGGCTGCGTAACCTCTCTAAGGACAAGGCCCGCTTTGTTGCAAGCAGGGTTGCTGGGGCGCAGCGCGCCCGTGGCCTTGAGCTCTTTGCTGTTGCCAAGGAAGTGCTTGGGCGGCCTGTGTCGCCGTGTTTCTAAGGGCCTTGTGTATCAATGTTGCTAGGCTAGGGGTTAGTTGTGGGGGCTCGCTGCGCCCATTGCTGGCCGCCTGGAACATTGATCTTGTTGCTTTGTCTGAAGCTGACGTCACTTGTGACTCCGGGCCCTCCTGAATCAGGAGTGGAAAGCTGCTGGATGGCATGCCTGCCTCAGCGCGCCTGACGACAATGGTGTCTCCAGAGTTGCCTTGCTTAGCCGCCTTCCCTTCAAGGTTGTCCAACTGTGTCGCGAGGAGGGCTTGGGTCGCCAAGCCGCGGCATTGGTTGATGTGGCCACTCCGCAAGGTACTGATACTCTGCTTTGTGTTGCTGCCTATTTCCAGTGTAGGCAGAAGGCAGTTGCTGAGGCTCAGTTCCATGATGTGATTACGGAAGCTGACTACTCCGGTCGAAGCACGCTCATCTTTGGTGACTTTAATCTCACTCAGCAGAAGGGTCTGGTTGCCGAGGTGGTGCAAAGTGGCCTAGCCTTTGCCTGCGACGATGCTGCAAGAGGTGAGGAACTGCCGTGCACTGGTCCGGTGTATGATGGCAGTCGTCGCAGACGCATTGATTATGGCTTAACCCTGAATGGTCTTGTTGCCACTGAGGTAATGCGTGTCCCGGAAGCCGAGGTTGGAGCCCTTTCCGACCACCGTGCTGTGGTATACCAATTTGATGCAACTGCCCTGCCCCGAAGACTTCCACTTTTCTGCGGAAGTCGAGGCACACTTTCATGAGCTGTTGCAACAAGGGGTTGATGCTGCCTGGGCCTTTGCTTCTGATTGGGCTGAGCGGCTGTTGTTTGAGGAGCCCAGGGACGACCAGGTCCCCCGTAGTGAGTTGTGGAGCCCTACACGTCCCCGTCGTCGGCGAGACAACGACAGGGACCTTGACCAGTCACCTGGACTGCGGGCTCTTCGTCGCCTGTTGCGTAAACTGCAACTCTGTGTGAATCGCCCTTGGGATGTCCCGTTGCAGCGTGCTTGTGTTGCATCCTGCATCGCTACACGGTCCTTGGTTCCTGAGTTGCCCAGGCTTGAGTGTGGCAGTGCGGCTGCGGTGCAGCAGGTCGAAGGCCTGGTTGCTGAGGTTGCCAAACGTGAAAAGAAGCTTCATCTCAGCCGATGGAAGGAGCGCATGCAGTTTGATGTTGGCAAGGTTAGGGCGTATGTCAAACGCAAGGCGGATGAGCAACTCGCTTTTGAGAAGGAGCCCCCAGCTCTGGCTGACACTACTGGTGGCTGGCACCCAGCTGTTGCCGTGCATGAGCAGGCGACACTTTGCTTCCTGCTGGTGAGCCTCCTGATCTCGATCAGGTTGACCGTGTGCTCCGGGCCGTGCCGCGCCCACCTGAAGTGCCCGTGTCCTTTGCTGTGGGTGCGGAGGAGCTTCGTTGCGCAACCTTGGCAATGAAAAACAAAGCGGCCGGGGCTGATGACTGGCTCCCCTGTGACATGGCGGCGTTGCCGCGCGCCTGGTTTAACTGGGCTGCCCTCATCTGGGATCGCATTCTTGCTCAGGGCCGCGTACCGTCGCTGTGGCGGCGGGCTAAGGTTGCACTTCTCTGGAAAAGTCGCCGGGGCACACTTTGCTCAATGCAATTTGGCGGGCAGGAGCGAGGGTCATACAGGCCCAGCTGAAGCCGTGGGTGCAAAGTTGGTGCGATCACCGCTCCGCCGGGGGCATTGCGGGCACCTCGGTGCAGCAGGCGCTGATGCAGATACGCAAGGCCATGGCGGATGAGGCTACTTGCTTTGTCCAGCTTGACATTACTGCGTATTTTGACAGCATCCAACTTCCTGTCCTTCAGCGTGCTTTGCAGCATTCGCATTTTCCCCCTGCGGTGTTGGCTGTTTCAAGGTTGCTGAAGACCTTGAGGTGTTGGGAGTCCGTGCCACTTTCCAGGGCCCGTGGTCGCTGCTGCGCTTCCAGGTTCGAAAGGTTATCCTGAGGGCGCGACTCCTCGGCTGGGTCACCGCAAATCGCAAGATTCAAAAACACCTGATCCTGTCGTTGGTGGTGCCTCCCTTCTCATGGGCTGCGGGTTTTGCAAGGCCAGATGCGAAGGCCTTGAAGGAGATCCGTACCGAGATCACTCAGGCCTTCCAAAAATGTTTCTCTCGTGATTTTGCCAGGGTCTGTTTCTTCGAGGCCCTTGATTGGCAGCTTCGTCCTGAGTTTGCATGTGACCTTGTGGCCCTACGGGTGCTATGGAAGGCCAGCATTCAGGTCCCTGGATGGCTGGACTTCCTGCCAATTCGGGAGGCCCGCTTCAGGTGGCAAGTCCTCATCCCTGAGGCCCCGGTGTGAGCTTCAGCGTAGAGACCGTGCCGGTCGCCTCAGGGTTGCTAGGCCTGGGTTTGATGGGTTTCAGATTGTCTTCCAGTGGCTCAGGCAGCGTTACAGACAGATCACGGTTGCCCAAACTGGCAGAGTCAAGTGCCGGTACCACCCTGATGACCCCAGCCTTGCTGCAGGTTTGGACCTCCCTGCCCCAATCATGGATGCCGATTACCACTTTGACGGGTTGCATGCAGCCATTAACATGGGCCTTCACACCATTGACCGCGCTGCCATTGGGGGAGGCCACACGTGTTGGTTCTATAACGCCCATGGTGAATTCCCTGAGGACCATGCCAGGTGGCTTTGCTTATGCGGGCGTTCTCGACCGTCACGAGCGCACTTGCTGTGGTGCTGCCCATGCACTGAGCATTTGCGCGCTACCCTGCGCTTGCCCAGAGACAGGTGTGAAGAGCGGCTACTACTTCAAGCCGTGCCTGAGCAACCGCCGGCGCCTCCGGCGATCGACCCAGGTGATTTCCATGACACCCTTTGTGCAAGCGCTGTCAGTGCAGCTTCGCCTCGACCCTGCAGTGCTATACCTGGCCACTGACGGATCTGAACATCTAGAAGTTGGCTCGTACGCTGTGGCGGTCCACCCAGGGGGCTTCACCTGCGCCACTGGTAATGGTGATGAGGATCAATCCTCCTTCAAGCAAGAGCTGCTGGGGTTCGACTGTGCAGCTAGTGCACTCGCTGTGGCTGTGCGCGAGACGGGGTGGACCGGTCGGGTCGTCTTTGCCCTTGACTCCCAGTCAGCCTTGAGAGTTGTACTGCGACAAGACTACCGCTTTTGCTTCCTGCTGCGGTTGGTTGAACGGACTAGGGCATCGCTGCTTGAGTTGGCTGCAATGCAGGTTCAATCGACCTTTGTGTGGGTTCCTTCACATGGCAAGCGACCTCAATGGCAGCCGCCATCTGGACTTTGCGCAGACCGTGTTCGATGGCTCAACGACCGTGCTGATCGTGCAGCTGCTGACTGTCGCCACCGCCGCAGTGGAGGCCGTGGACGAGCCGAATGGTGGCGATTACGTGAGGTTGCGGGTGCTTGGGAGCTGGGAGCCACACAGGCCCTTGCGGCCGCCGGCCAGCTCCTTCACGCTGAACTACGACGACATGGACTCCGACCTCGAGAGCCACCTCCACCTGCAGCTGTTGCTGAGGCACACGGAGGTTTTCCTCCTCCTGCTGAAGGACATCCTGCCCCGTCACCTGTGCACCTGTGCATGCTGGGCCTGGACTTGTGAGTCTCATGCCGCTTATGAAAGGCCGTGAGCTTCTTCACTGTCACTTGACTTTCGTGTCCGCCTGGGATTTAGTCCCTATCCCGCCTTCCCTAGGGTTTCCTTACCCCTTAGGGTTTAGACCTCTTGCCCCGCCGCCCGTGCACCTGAGCACTGCTGGGCCTGACCTGTGAGTTTTCTGCTCTGCAAACTTTGTGTTTTGGTCCCACGTGGGAAGCGCTTGCAGGAGTCCTGTTGAGATGCCTCGTGCGACGAACCCGGACATGGGTTGTCCATTGCCTGCGTCTGCTGTGTCGTTTTGCTCCACTTTGTCTCCATTCCTGTGGATGGGGCATACGTTGCTGGCACTCTACCAGTGCCGCTCTTTTCTGTGGGCATGCTAGTTGGAACGCCTGGTTGACTGGCTTGTACGGTCACGATGCTACGCTGCCCTACTACATGCTCCTCTTCTTTGAGAGTCCCGCGGCTGCTGGCGGCGCTTCCTGGCGGCGGCTGCTGCTTCACTGGGCTGCTGCAGGCTGCCGCGAGCTGACCACTACTTGAGCTCGGACAGCGACGTCTTCTGTGTTAGGCGCCGCGTCTCACGAGGGCTTGTTCAGCCTGTAGCCCTCCTGCTCAGGTTTTCACGGTTTGGATGACTGTTCATCCACTTTTCACGAGAGGGGTTAGTACTTGCAGTCGGACTTCATAGCTACCTGCAGTACGCCTCCTTTACAGCGTTTGCATTTATGCATAGTCTCGCTTGTGCTGATGCGGCCTCTGCCTTCGGCACTCCGAGTACTTCTAGGTTTATGGTCAGCTGGCGCTTGAGCTCTGCTTGTATAGCTGTACACTTTGCAGTAGCTCAGTTGCTTGCGTGCTGAACCCTTGTAGGTGTTTGACTCCCTTTTTTGTTTGTGACGGACCGGTTCTGCGGACCTCATGGGCGCAAAGTCTTTGAATTTTGGTCCCTTAGCAAAAACGCTCATATCCGCCAGGTCCGCTTGGAGCTGACACATCGGCTGACGAGGCACGAAGCTATTGTAACCTTTTTCGGGTCTGTCCTCTCGCGCAATCAGGCTGCTGAGAAACTGACGGACTTCTCCGCGAGAGATGGAAACATCTTCAGCTCTGGCTCTTCTCAGGGTTTGCTCCAGGTTTCCGAAGCCCGTTCTAGGATCTTCGTAAACGTGCTTGATAATTTCTTGTCTTCGAGCTGCTGCTGCCATAAGTCTTTATGGTAACGCATTTGCAAGATGCATGTTGGGCGGGAGGGTTTGAGTCAGCTGGGGAGAATATGTCCATCAGAGCGCGTCTGTTTAGGCGTTTTTTTGGACCTTGCTGCAGTTTTTTCCACTTTGGTTGCTGTACGATTTTTCATGTCTGCGCATTGCATCCCTTGCATGTCCCATGTACTCACTTGCAGACGTTTTTTTAGCGCTCGTACTCGTACGGTAGCACGTTTCAGATTTGTGAGTGAACTACGCCGCTAGTTTTTTAGCTGGGAAAACCGGGCATAGTGGCCTTCCCCACGGCAACCGGGAAGGGGTTGGGTGGAGGGTTTGAACTGACATGGGAGGGATGGAGAGGGTTTGAGCTGGGTGGGGGTGGTTTTGGAGCTTGGAAAAATACGGGCATAGTTTCCTTTTCCACGGTAAGCGTGTTGCCGGCTTTAGGCTGGCGTCTCCCACCACAGGAGCTCATCCAGCCCCAGGAACCAAGCGTCCTGGCACAGGGATTCGAAGTCGGGGCATTCCCTCCCCAACCCCAGGCTCCCTGGCAGGCCTGACCCTCCCTTCGTCTGAGTGGTTACTGATAACCCACTCATTGAGTCCTGTCTCAGTCGGACACCTCCTCGACCAGAGATTTTGTGGCATTGGCTGGAGATTGGTTGGGGTCGGTCTGGGCTGGGCTGGGGTTGACCGCCGCCTTGGCGGACGAAGCTATGGAAAGCTCCTGGGCCAAACGGAAGAAGAGGTTCGAGGCCAGGCTTGCGGTGCCTAGCCCGGCTGTGCGTGTTACATGGAGGACTGGTGATGAGAAGACTGTGCGTGGTTTCGTCACCAGTCTGAAAATCTTTTTCCACACACTGTCCTGTGTGAGGTCATGCTTGTCATCACGACAGATGTTGAATTCAAGATCCCTGGAATGAGTTACTCAAGGCAGGAACGTATGTCGCAGTATCTCGAGGGCCCCGCAAATAAACCACCGTGAATGGAGCTGAGCCCGATTCTGAAGTCTCACCTCCGGGGCCCGCCATTTGTCAACCCCCCTTTTGGGAGACCTGGGAGGCTGCGATGGCCGCATCATGCTGGTGCGCCGGGTGCTGTCCGAAACAGCCCCCTGCACTCTGCAACAATGCACTCTCGCGCAGTTCTTATCCTTGCAGCTCTGTGTATTGTAGGCATAGCAGATCTGCTTGCCATCAGGTGTCATGGATGCCAACTTGTGCCCAGACTGGACCTGAGGCCGCGGGCCTTACCTCCCTTGAAAGGAGCAGGTGGTGGGGGTACGCCCCCTTTGATCTTGCCCCCGCCTTTGCGGTACTTGCTAGGTTGCTCGGCGGCATGCAGTGCCAACGGTGTGGTGAAATAAGTCTCCTCCAGGCACCGGCGATGGTCTCGCCGTCGTCCACCACCATTCGCATGGCTTCGGAACGGAGTTTGTGCTCAAAAGCTAGCACGACTGCCCATGGGGGACGCGTGGGGAATTGATCCTTACCGGTGCTGGATGGCAAGCGCAGGTTTGCCACACGATCTCCCAAGATGAAGTCCACGAACTTGGTGAAAGTCTCGAGCTTCAAACCCTGCAAGAAAGGTTTGGCTTTGTATCTGGCAGACATGCACAGCCGCGCGAAGGCTTCCACCTTCATAATGCGC